CTTAATTTTTAAGAAAATTCGATCTTAGGTGCAATACACTCATCTGATTTGGGGGTTGTAAGTGTTCCGCCCCATCAAATATATTTTTTACTTTAATCGATTATGTTTAAAGGGTTCACAATCAACCCCTAATTGCGTTTAACTCCAAGAAGTATAGACATTACTTAATTTTTGAGAAAATTCTATCTTAGGTGGCATACAATCAACTGATTTGGGGGTTGTAACTTTTGTGCCCCCCAAATATCTTTGTTTCCTTAATCGATTATGTTTAAACCGTTCACAATCAACCCCCTAATGGAGTATCAAAATGTTATCCCGCGAAGTTTAGAAATTACTTAATTTTTAAGAAAATTCGATCTTAGGTGGAATACACTCATCTGATTTGGGGGTTGTAAGTTTTCCGCCCCTTCAAATATTTTTGTTACTTTAATCGATTATGTTTAAAGGGTTCACAATCAACCCCTAATTGCGTTCAACCCCAAGAAGTTTAGAAATTACTTAATTTTTAAGAAAATTCGACCTTAGGTGGAATGGAATAGACTCATCTGATTTGGGGGTTGTAAGTGTTCCGCCCCATCAAATATTTTTGTTACTTTAATCGATTATGTTTAAAGGGTTCACAATCAACCCCCAATTGCGTTCAACCCCAAGAAGTTTAGAAATTACTTAATTTTTAAGAAAATTCGATCTTAGGTGGAATACACTCATCTGATTTGGGGGTTGTAAGTTTTCCGCCCCTTCAAATATTTTTGTTACTTTAATCGATTATGTTTAAAGGGTTCACAATCAACCCCTAATTGCGTTCAACCCCAAGAAGTTTAGAAATTACTTAATTTTTAAGAAAATTCGACCTTAGGTGGAATGGAATAGACTCATCTGATTTGGGGGTTGTAAGTGTTCCGCCCCATCAAATATTTTTGTTACTTTAATCGATTATGTTTAAAGGGTTCACAATCAACCCCCAATTGCGTTCAACCCCAAGAAGTTTAGAAATTACTTAATTTTTAAGAAAATTCGATCTTAGGTGGAATACACTCATCTGATTTGGGGGTTGTAAGTTTTCCGCCCCTTCAAATATTTTTGTTACTTTAATCGATTATGTTTAAAGGGTTCACAATCAACCCCTAATTGCGTTCAACCCCAAGAAGTTTAGAAATTACTTAATTTTTAAGAAAATTCGACCTTAGGTGGAATGGAATAGACTCATCTGATTTGGGGGTTGTAAGTGTTCCGCCCCATCAAATATTTTTGTTACTTTAATCGATTATGTTTAAAGTGTTCACATCAACCCCCTAATTCCGTATCAAATTGTAACCCCACGAAGAAATTGCTTAATTTTTAAGAAAATTCGATCTTAGGCGACATACACTCATCTGGTTTGGGGGTTGTAACTTTTGTACCTCATCAATAATTTTTGTTTCCTTAATGGATTATGTTATAAGGGTTCACAATCAACCCCCTAATTACGTATCAAAATGTTATCCCGCGAAGTTTAGAAATTACTTAATTTTTGAGAAAATTCGATCTTAGGTGCAATACACTCATCTGATTTGGGGGTTGTAAGTGTTCCGCCCCATCAGATTTTTGTTACTTTAATCGATTATGTTTAAAGGGTTCACAATCAACCCCTAATTGCGTTAAACCCCAAGAAGTTTAGAAATTACATATT